AGAAATGATTGTTTGTTTTACTTTATGTAGGGTATAGCTTTTTTCTTATATTGAGCTTACTGTTCTTATTTTTTACATATTTAGCGTTCTTTTTGCCATTTTAGTTTAAGTTTTTCATGACATAACTAGTCTTTCTTTAGAAAATTTGCACAAAAAATGCATCTTTAAGCTCAAGAAAGAGTTGGGTAACATTGCCACTTTTAAGTGTGATTTAAAAACTAGTCATTTGACTGTTATGTTAGGGGAGGGTTAAAATTTTAAGGCTAACGGCAACAGTTATTCAAGACATTATGAAATAATTTTATCGGCAAATTTCTATTGAGTATACCAATAATAACGTAATTATTGGGCCTATTAAAAGTTTTCTAAAATAGAAAACGCCACACCAAAAACATTTATCAGAACTGTATAAATATTTTAGAGATTACTTCTTAACTGAAAAATGTATTAAATACAGTAGAACTCTTAATTATTGGAATCAATTGGTACCATACCACATTGGGATCTTTATTAAAATTTGGGGTATTTAATTGAATGTAGGCAGAGTCGAGCCGAGCTTCTATCATCGCAGGTGTCTGCAAATATTTCACGATCAAAATGATCACCCTTTTGCTGCGATTGTGTAGACGATCATGATGTTTCTGTGACCGCAGGAGGTGTTCAGGATTTTGCCATGATCACGGCTTCTACTTTCTTAATTAACAACTTTTATTCTTGGAGATGTTTTTTTTAGTTTTAAGTGAAACGCAAGCTTAAATGGTTTTAACTCTTTCCTACTTCGAGTTCTACCAGTCATGAAATCTATTGATTCCTCGATTCAATGTTAAGTTAGTTTTGTAACTAATTATATTACAACAGGTAAAACTTTGTTTTTAGTTAGTGTGATACAAATGTTATTTTATGTGCAATCTTAGGACAAATTTTACTCATATTTGTAAGATATTTTTGTTTGTAGGATTGTTGAATTGAATTAACACAAAGAAGCAGACTTAAATGATCTGATTGTTTCTTGTGTGTATAATTATCTGTTTGCTGTAATACATGATGTTTACACTTGTCTGAATTTTGTTTAAAATGTTGTGTTAGTTTCTGCTACTTATTCTAGTTTGAGTGCCTGGGACTTTCTAATGACAATTTCTTCATTATTCATACCATTAAACATTCAACTCCTTGTCCCTCCCCCTTCTACCAGAATTCTTTGTCGCATTCTCGTCTACTCAAGTTGTAAATATTATTTATATCACTGCTCATTGTATTATTTTTATGAGCATTTTAAGTATTGAACAAGGTCGGTAAACAAAACACAAAATATAATTTTTCCATAAATTTGTTCGTCCATGTGCTGTGTATTGTATTAACTTTGTTTGGATCTTGTTCTATAGCAAGGGGTCATTGAATATCTAGGGATGTAAGGTGTTAAACGTTAACTGAGGATTTTTGTATGTTAGTGGTATATCTTTTTATTTGTAAGCTACGTTTTTTTCTCATTCAAACTTATAAAAGACTGTGATTCTTATATTTTAAGGGTTCTCATAATTAATGAGTTATTGTGTAGAAATATGTTTAATCAGATAAAAACACAATACCAAAAATTTTCTTATCTGTATCTTTTACTTTTTTTCTCATTAAATTACACAATAGAAGTTTTTATGTAAGCTACATTTTGAAAAAAAATATATGGATAGTTATTCACAGTACTAAATGTTTAATTTGTAATAGAATTTAAGTTTACAAAATTGTAAAATACTTAGTGCAGGATATTAGACATTATTATCAGGCAGGCTGCAATTTTTTTTCTTTGTGAAGAGCACCAAAGGGGGTGCAGTAGAACTCCAGACTATCCCAATCTTTCTGTAATAAATTCAGATAATCGGCTAATCGGACTGTTGGGAGTTCCATTATACCTAGTTATTTTATATAAAGATATTATTTATTTTCTAAAGCACAATTGATTATATTATTATTGACAATATGTCAAGGTATCTTGTTTATCTCATGCTTTTCTATTGTGATAGTAGTTGAAATCTCAAGACAATTTAGTGTTTATGTTTATGCGAACACAATTTTGTTAGAGTAATATTTATGTGTATGTTGATGTTAAATTTTTTATAAAATATTTTTTAAGACTGTTGTATCTTCATTATTGTTAAGTTTGTCTTGGAATCTCAGCATTATCTTATGGATCAAAGGGACCCAAGTCAAGGAATGTCCTTTTTTCTCAAAAGTATGCATAATTATAACATAGTCCTGGTCTTGCACTGGCATTTCTACATTGTAACACATTGTTAAATCAAAACCACTTTTAGACTTAATTTTTACTGAAAACTGCATCCCCATAAAGAGATTTAACCTTAACCATTATAATAGTTTTTGTAAACGATTTCCCCTACAGGAAACTAAACTTGAGACCCGCGCTTTAGTCTTGACAATATTCTAAAACTTAACAAAATGGTCCCGGGATCAAATTCCACCAATTATCAATGGATTTGAAGGTGGAACATAAAAATAAAAACCCCTTGTGCAAGCAATTTATGTTGTTTGTGGATCCCTCCTTGTTGATCTTGTTTGCATTTACACTTATCTCAGGGTTGTTAAGGTTTCTGCTAACAAAGCTCTGTTTCTTGATACATAACAATGTAATTTAAATAGTTTTACTGAATGTTTATTTTCATCGATAAATTTATGTTCCTATGATCTGAACAAAGCCATTTTAGCTGAACTGGGTTCAACTTCAAAGTACTTATATAGCCTGTTTTTCCTATTCGACCTATGATTTATGTTTATTATTTTTTTACTATAATTTTACTGGACCTCACACAAAACAGGGTACTGTAGTATTTAGTTTAGGTTTTATATTTTTGTATCTTTTGTATATATTGTATGGCAGCGCGTTTATTTTTATCAGATCTTTATTAAGGTTTGTAAAGCTTTTATTTAAAGGCACAAAACATCTAACACAACTTTTTATTGTTATTGTTTATTTGGCGATAAATAATATGAAACATGTTTTAAGATGTTTTTGTTACACCTTTATAGGCACAAAACTCACAATAATTTATTTTTTTATTCATCAAAGACGATATAGTCAAGAGTGTCAGTAACTAAGCAATATTTGAAATGCTCGGTTATAACTTTTAAAATGAATTTATAACCAAATTACTTAAATAGATCAACCTCAGAGATATTTTTGTAGTGTTTGACAAAGTTACAGGTGATAAATGTCCTTAATTTTGAATTTACTTGTTTAAATAAAACACACACAATATTTTATCACAAGAAAATACAATGTTATAACTAGGACAACTTAAATGTATGTGGATTAGAATTTAGAAATACAAACTGATGATTTCATAATTTTTAGTATAACAATCATGACAATAAATAACTAATCTGAATCAGTTTTCCAATTGCATTAAATTTAAATCCAAGCATTAATTAAACAAAATTATTAAATAAGGCCTACTCAATGTAATTTGGTAAATGAAATTTGATATCAATAATAATATTATTAAGGAGTAAAATATAATATATTTTCTTTTTAAATTTTAAGGTAGGTCTAAATAGCTAATTTTCGAGTGATACATACGTATATGACAAAAATACAGTTCACTTCAAAAATAAAAATTGATAAAGTTTATAAATTAAGGAAGCTGTTATTGTAATTTTACTGTCATTGATGTTTTATCTTGGTATGGTATAATTTCTATATTATATGTATATGTACCAACATCCAACAGCATAACAAGTCCTACAAAATACTTCTGCAATAGTTAAATAACTAAAATATTTTTACAGTTGCAACTATCGCTCATACAAATTTTTAATGTTTAACTTGCACAAAACATAATAATTATTGCACCAACTCGGGGTTGTTCCACTTAAAAATATCTTTGTGTTAAAAAAAATTTCTGGTTACATAATTAATGGCAGGACTACTGAATTTGTCGTAAATGTAGAAATTTTAATGTTTTATCATGTTTTAATGCATTAAAAAGACAAAGTTGACTATGTGCCTTGTATTTTATGTTAAATTATAACATCCAGGGCACTTCATATCTAAAAATAAGATACAAGAAACCTACAATTCAAAAAGGCATACTTGTTATTGTTAATACTCCAAATATGTTCTAGTCTAAAGGTTTGGCTACTATAAAATAACTCCAAGACGATATATTTTAAATTTTAAAATCACAAATGAGGTCACTGACAGATTTTCTTAATTTTTTCTAACTATTTGATCAAACTTCCTGTTTTTAGAGCGAAAGTTCTCAATCTATTTTAAAAATTCAAATAATCAGTACTGCAAAAGCATATTTAAAACGCCAATACCGTAATCAAAATATATTTGGATTATTAATGTTTGCTTGTATTGTTGGCTTTTCGCACACTGAAATGAAAATGGTGAAATTTGTAGCACAAATCGCATAAGATTTTTGTAAGCAGATGAGTTTTAAAAACTGTTAACATACCACATGAATGTCATTGAACTATAGCTTGTTGTGCATAAACAATAATGTTTTTATCATTACAATCTTACTATTGTACTTACGCGTTAAGTGATACTACTCAATAGTTTATGGCAATTGTAAATATGGAGATAAAAAGTGATTGCTGATACATTGTTTTAATCAATCTATATCCTTATCTACCTAAACTTATGCCCTAAGTCCAAACCAGAGTGTGAAAATCTAGTTTTTAAAATATTCATTGCTATTAGTGTAAATCAGTGTCACAGTTTTTCTAGCTTGTTCCCTATTTCAATCAAAAATTTGTGTTTACTTTCAACAGCTTAGTACTAAAAATCATACACAAGGCGTGGAAAAATTATGTAAGGTAAGGACTTGTAATTTTGAAATAATGTACTGACCGAATTCTAAGACTTTGCTCATTGCCCAAATTTGAAGGCGACAGAATAGAAATACGGATTTGAAATAAATACCAACTAGTTTATGGAGATAAATATTTATTCCACGGACAGTTGTTTTATGTTTTATACCTATTCAATCATCATCATCATCATTTGAGAAACAGAACGTTTCCGTCTTCTCCACAAGCCACTTGAAAAGTTTATGTTTGCCTTGTCTTATCATTTCGTCTCCAACAAGTGACCTTATGGTCGAATAGTACTTTCTCAACCATTGGATCTGAAACAAAAGCAATTTTTAGCCTCAGCAAATAAACTTAATTAATAAAAAAAAATATTTTTAAATTTGACTGGCATGAAACATTAGTTATGTAATATTTCCTTTAGCTTTTTGGAGTAAAAAGAGTGCTAATAGGTTTTTTGCAGTTTTTAGAAAACCATTTCTCTGATCTAATAAATCATAGAATTTCTTTAATTATCAAAAACTAACCAAATAATACTAAATATAGTATCCAATAGGATGTGTTTTTACCTGGTGTTTATCCAATTTCTTGAAATTAATTAGCTTCCGTTCATAAGGTACCAGGGTCAAAGGCTCAAACCCTAAAAGTCTTCTTGACCCTTCCTGCAAAGAAATCAAGCTTTAAAATCTATTCACTGAAAGGATAGTCCAAAGATAGATTAACACAATTTTCATCTACTGATAATCTAATTTTAATCTATAAATTGATGACAGATTAGTGCATTGAATCTAAAGGTTTTATCTAGTAGGAATGAAATAATGGATCCTAAAGATATCGATTACTGATGTAATTATTGATCAAGTTCTGATTGTTATTGACTATAAAGTGTATCAATTTGTGCCATGGATTCATGGTGCTATGGTACCTCAATATAAAATTATTTTGGTTACAAATGCACTTTTCAAATCTCTGATTTCCAAATTTAGGCGTCCCAAGACTAACTGAAAGTGCTTAACAAAATATGTTCAATAGGCGAGTATGTACCTCTTTAAATGTATCATCGTCTTGAACTTTACTACAAAGGTACTACCATTGACTTTGATACTGAAGTAGACATCCCATTACCTATTGTAATACTATCGTTAACAATATTATAGATTATCAATGCTACTATAACTTTGAAGTAAGTAACTGGAACTACAGTGTAAGAGTTACATTTACCAGCTATGATTTCTATAGAAATTATTAATTGTTCATCCTTCTGACACTCGTTTAATTAAACCACTTACTCTTGCTGGCTTTTCTACAACTCGAACAAGATTTTCCAAACGCATTCCAAAGTCATTTTCTTTATAAAAGCCAGGCTCTGAAATAATATTTTTTATTTGTTATTATTTATATTAGTTAAATATTATATTATAGCAACAAATACAAAATCCTACAGCTTAATGTTCTGTTTTGTTTTGCTAAGTGAGCAATTGGAGATAGTAAAAAGATTTTAGATAAATGAACAAAATATTAGTTTGGTAAATTTATAAAATAAAAAATCTTGGTTTAAACTTTTGAGACATATAATACAGGGATTTATATTACATTAAAATTAAAATGCCAACATTGGACATAGGTTAAAGCTATTGTCAAAAAGGAATAAAATAATTTTTAATAGATGTTAAATGCTGTCGCACATTTCCTGCAACCATACATAACATTACCAAATCAAACAGAACATTCTTTTGCAGCATACCGTGTTTTTTCTCATAATTGTGGATTTGTAAGTTTAGTTTTATATCTACAGTACAGTCCACGAGAGTCTGCAGTTGAGGGAGAAGCCTATTTACCACGTGACTTCGAAGGAGTCAATGAGGACAGTGTGGTGTTGCCAAATCTTATAATGCCAGCTGATTTGAAAATATTGTTTAGTATATATTAATTAGTGTCGAAAAGTAGTGAACGGGCGATGTTGCAACGTCACACTAGTCCAGTCTTGGTATTGGCTGCCGCCAACTGCAGACTCTCGTGGCCCCTGGTATAGCAAAAGTACTTTATTAAAAGTAAAAGAAAAACTTTTTTGTTACCTTGAGATCCTATAAAGTTGACTTCATATGTGTAGTTGAAAGCTGAAAAAGGAAAAAATATTTCCAGGGTAAATTTTATTTTTTCATAAATCATAATGAAAAACTGTTTCACATGATAATTTGTGGTAAAGGACATTCGAGGTCTGAGCAAGATGCTAAATTAAACTTTACATCTAAATTAGTCAGTAAATCTTAGATTTGGTCTGGAAAATATATTCTTTTACACAATGGAAGAAAAAATCAAATTTTTTTTAAAGAGGTTGGCGGCCTCTTTTAACCTTGCATTTGCCCGTCCACATAGACTAAGCGCCCGTGCGTGGATCGTTTACAGCAAAGCAAGAAGTGAGCCGGTACAGTACAAAGGTGAACTGTACTGATAAAATGTTATCGGCAGTGACCAGGATCCGAACCCACGACATCGCTGCCTTGGGCCCGAAGTCCGCGACGCTACCGACTGAGCCACCGACTCACTAAATCAAGCTAGATCAAGCACATTAAAGACTTTTTTATTTATTTATTTATAATCATCACACGTTACATCAATGATTCACAGGTGATTTGTCATAAAACAACAATCATAATATTGAATACTTAAAAATAATTAGGGCCTACATTTGTAAGGTAATCTTCCAGTGAAAAAAATGCCTTCTCCAGAAGCCATATATATCTTAGATGTTTTTTTTTTTAATTTTTGATATGCAATTGATATCTTTTATTCTTATTGTTGAAGGCAGCTTATTATAAATTTTGGGTCCCATATATTGTGGGGATAAATGTAATAATGTCTATGTTGCATTGGTTTTATTAATTTGAATCTCGTATCATGGATGTGAGAGGGTTGACTCTTCATAAGTGTATCCAACTTGACCATCAGAGAAGTATAATAATTGTAAGAGCTGTATAAAGTGATAATTTAGAATTGAATTGACTGAAATATTCTTGGCAATGTGTATCTGGAGGAACCTTGGCTATATGTCTAATCGCCCTTTTTTGAAGAATAGACACTTTTTTGCTTTCACTACGATCCCCATAAAATAAGTCTGTAATTAATAATTGAAGCGAAATAAGCATGATATAGGCCTACTGCAATTTGTGTGTCAAAATGTTTTTATCTCTAATTAATTGCTAAACAAATATAGCTGAATTAGGTATTTTTGATACATTTTTAATGTGAGTATGCCACATTGTCAATGTTAAAAACGAACGAGTCATTAAAACATTGTCTACAATCTTTGACTATAAATACACTACAATTCAACCATTAATCTTTATTGTTTTTTGTGCATTATGTATATATCCGTACACTGTGTTTATTATTGTGTTTCTTGTTTATTAAGTTTTTTTTTATCCAACCGTCCTTTTGTTAGATAGCATCATTACTTAATAGCCCAATAACAAATGAGTGAATTTGCAATCTCGTTAGAATCAAACCAGCAACCTTCAGATTTGAAGGCGAGCACATCAAGACATTAAAAAGTTCTTGTTTTGACTCAGAACTACGAGTTGATAAATGTATTTTTGTAAATATATTGTTATACAGTGTTGTATTGTGGACTGTAAACTATGTCAGTAAGCTTTGTATTATGGCTGTTTGAGTCAAAATAAACAAAACACTTTAAATGTATGCCTATACAATGAAGCTCCAACTAGCAAAGGTGGCAAATCGCATCTAACTAATAGTAGTGCATTCCTAGAAATAATAGTAGCCTATATTTTTAAACCTTTACTATATTAATAAGGCTGAGTGGTTATAGCTAGGGCAAACTTTCAAATATGAAAGTTGCTAGTTCAATATCAAGCGCGAAAGAGTATATGGATCAAAATAAGGTCGTCATTGGATAGTAAGACCAGCAGGCCCAAGGATTGCATGTAATTATCTATAGGCCCTAGAGACGATTGGGATCCTCTCCACCTACCTTGTGGGGGAATTTCTCTCTTCCTTGCGCCCCTGGGCCCATTTATAAAAACGACCCTGAAAACCGGAAACAAACCGTCTTTGTATTTTACTAATCAAATCAAGTTGGAAAATGTCTGCAATAATTTCTTAACCTAAAATCACCAAAAATAAACTTAAAATAAAGACCAAAGCTTGGACCGTTCCCTTATAAATAACCTATATATTGCCACGGGAAAAAATATAAACAAAATCATTACCTTCATGTACACCGAGGTAGACACCGGTTCCGTGAGTGCTGCCGTGGCCGTAACTGTGTCCCAGCTTGTACAGAGGTCCTCGGATGATGACGTCTAGTTCCTGCAATGTTTGACCAGCTGGGAACACTGTGCTGGCCAGGTTGATGCATCCTTGTAACAGTGCTGTGTAAATCTGGCAACAATGTAGAACAGCAGGTGTAAGTTTAACGAATATGGGTTGTAAAATATTGAGGAGGTAGAGAAGGCATAGAGAGTTTGGAGGTGTAAGCAAGCCAAGTAGTTACTTGAGGACCACAACATTGAGATCCGAGACCATGGCAAGACTCACAAAAACTGTTTAAGAATGCTAACGATTGAATGGACATTGCAGATTAAGGGACACCACATGAAAATGGGTAAAGAGCAGGGCTAGGGTAAAGAGTATGAATTTGATTATGCCAAATGAAAAAAAAACTGCAGAGGGTCTGTTGAAAAATTGGGAGGCAGTCTCTGCTTCAAGAGAGCCAATAGTGTGGGTGGTAGCAGGTAGCAATTGGGATTATTCTCGAGTTACATATAGATTTTGTCAAGGAATTAGGGCTGGAGGGGATGCTTTAGGCGGACTGAACACTAGTTTAGGGGCTCAATAATAGATCTTTAAGCTTGCAGCGCTTTCTTTTCTTATCCCATAACCTTCAGTGGTAAAAGAATATCCAAACATTTTAGTGATTCAATATAAAAAAAGATTAACAAAAACTTTCCAAAATCATTTAAGAGTCATATGTTAAAACTGTTATGATTCATATTGCATAGTGTCAGTTGTTTCTTTTAGTTTTCAGTACTTAAGTGGTTAGGAAGTGAATTTACAAAAATGTATTTTATTTTAAACTAGTTGTTACCCACGGGATTCACCCCGTTTGACTTCATAAGTATAAATAAAACTATTGATTGGTTAGGTTAAGCTGAAATAAAAAAAAACCAGAATACAGTAATACAAACAAATAATCACACTTGATTTTTCTATATATTAAATCCAATGTTTGTTTGTTTGTGTGTTTCTTTGTTTGTCCTTTATGGACTCCGAAACCGCTTGACAGATTGTAATGAAACTTTCAGGCATTATTAAGCATTATTCAAGGATGGTTTGTTTGAAGTTTGGTGCAGATCCGTCAAAAGGGCTCCGCCCCAGTGGCTCTGGAGTTTCCCATGTTAACCTTATGAATACTCATCTATATAAATAAAATTACAGTTTTGTCTGTACATTGCTTAGAATCATGCAGTTTTTGGTTATTTTTACGTTTTATAGCCAAGAAAGCCGAAACGAGTCTTATCTCAATTTCTGTCTGTATGTCTGTCTGTTTGTCCATTCTGTGACTTCGTCTGTAACGCCAAAATGTCATTTTACGCGGCCTACTCCTAGAAAACTAGTCTCGATCAAGGTTCTAATCGTTTTTCTGTATTTACTGGATTGGCGAGAGTGTCTTTGGCTATAAAAACATGGCCTCGCTTCTTTGAAAACAAAATAACGAACCATCAAAAACCCAATTTTGTTCGATTTTTGTAAAATTTTCTCCCAATGTTTACTATTACATTTTATGAAATAACGATCAGCTGTTTGGATTAGTTCTCACTTCTAGCTGTCACTTATATGTTTACATTAAAAGTTGTTTACAAATACCGCAACCATTTCTGATCAAGTTTAGTAAGCACATCCAAACCAAGTGAGATTAAAAACGTTGTGCCTTACTTAACCGGTTTAATTAATCGCAAGTGCAACGATTGTTCTTGAGTTTTGATAACCGGGGAAAATACCGTGAATCAGTGTTGTATTAGTGCAAGGAAACTTACATATTTTTAATCATCGGCACCAATACCGTAGCTTACAAAGTTTTCCACTCATTGACGGCGCTTCAAGGACAGTTGTATAAAGTGCAAAGTAAAAAATCACAACTGCAGTGGGTGATCGTGGATGTTGCTGCGATTTTGGAAGATCTGTCTGATTTCGCTGTGATCGTACCGTAACGGAGGTTAAACTTAACAGATGTAGCTAAACTCGCTTTTCCAATGTGTCATTTTTTGTTTCTACTTTCTTACTTTTCGATAACGATATCGGTACTTTTCCTACTTAGGAAATAAAACTACAAACGTACAAAACTCCAGATTTGTGCGTTTTTTGTCACATTTCCTCCGAATGTTTGCTAGATATATGTACCTACCAATTATCGTTTAGAGATTACGTAATCTTTTAAATGAAAAACCTTTGTTTGGATAAAGGTGGTTTCTTCAAACTGCCATTAATATGTTAACATTAAAGCTGCTTACAAATAATGCTATTAATGGAAAATAACTTTGATTTTCGAAAACTTAAAGACAAAATTAAAACCAAAGGTGATTAATAACTTCGGTACTGCACCACATCAAGTGAAAGTTTTTTTAGCAAACCATAGTACGTTTTTAAAGCTTTACGTTGTTGTTACATCATTTACATGTTACATGTTTTGTGGCCTGTGTATTTATTTATTTATATATTTGCCAACAGATTAGTTAACACCTATAATACAGTTTGATTTGAAGGACAGTTTGAATTAGTCGTAAGTACTACAGTTCTTTTCTCAAATGTAAACGTTGGTTTTTGTTTTTGGTACTGCTACTTTTCCTTAGAACCGGTGGTAGCAGTAAGAATAATTTTTACATAAAAACACATCACTATTTTCATTTTCACTATTTATTTATAAACACTGCACCTTATTGCTTATTAAATTTAATTGATGTCTTACTGTATAATTTTTAGCGTTTTCTGTCTGGACTCAAAAATGTTGTGTGGACTCAATTCTGTATTTGTGTGTGTATGTCTGTTGGTAACGCATTAATGTCCTTATTTTTCGTGGAAAAGACAAGAGCACCATTGTAAATAACAGTTTCGACCCAAATAAAGTGTGCAGTAGTGAGGTTGAGGTAGTGTTTTAACTACTTTTAACCAGTGTGAAAAGTAACTTTAAATTACAGGCCTATCTTAGGGCTATGCCTCATAGATCTATACTGTAAAGCAAATCCTTTCATCGTTTGATATAAAATATGGACTAACACGATCGGGTGACATTTAATTGCGAAGCATTCGTTTTGGCTTTGAAACTGTCAGATATTGTATTTGAGAAGGTTTATATGTGTTCCTAAACAGTTATAGTTTTGCCATCATATCTGGAAAAATGCACACTAAATATGCAAACCAACTCCTGTTCTGAATATAAGGTTTTAACTTACTACTAGATTCCCGTACGTAGAACGGGCAAACAGCTAGTATTAAATGGAATTAAAGAATCTTAACAGCTGGTTTAACTAAACAATTTGATTCTGTGATGTTCAATAGCATTAAAAAGTTAATAGGTTTACCAACAGGGTGCAGCACTATTTTTTTTTTAATTTATGACAACAGCTAAATAATTTGCAACCAAAAGGTGAGTGATCGTAGCGAACAAACTTCAACCAGGACGTGATTGAGCCATGCTAACGAGCTTATCTTGAAAATGAACCAGCATTTGACATAAAACCACATTAGGACAGGACAACGTCTGTTGGGCCAGCTAGTACAGTAAGGTAATAAATTGAAAGAATAACAAACAAATAAGTACAGCTGGGGTATTTTTACAATAGGTGTATGAAAGTTCCCTTTAGAAAAGAATTACGACCTTTAAGGGCAATTTATGAAAAATGGATAGTTTTGCACAAGGTTTCTCGTCATAACAAACATTTTATGTATATGGTTTATGGGGGTAAGACTTGTAGTTTTTTCAAAAGTTCATGGGTACTTTGGGATTTATCTATACTATTATAAAGAAGAGGTGGTGTCTGTGTGTGTGTGTGTGTTTGTATGAGGTAATCTCAAAAACTACTGAACCGACTGGGCTCAAATTGCACACAAATGAAGCTACAGATCCGAGGATACATATAGAACTATTCCCGCTTCGATATTGTCCTAGGGCTCTGCCCCGTGGGCTTTCAAAAATTCGAGGTGAGAGATTTAAAAGTAAATATGGGTTGATTATCCATGGTAACAAAGAACAAACCTACAAAGTTTAAAAATGTAAACAAGCAGAACTAACTGTCAAATGAATGTTGATTTCATAATTCCACACAGCTAATGCGGCAAAAGAATAAGTTTTAAACCAGGCTGCTTGTTAAAAAATATTTAAAAAGTGTTTGTCTTGGTCTTTTATTTTGAATGAAATAAGTAGCTAAATCAAAGGTAAATTATTAGATGGTCAGTTTCATGAGGATAGTAAAGCAATATTGGAATGCTCTTGATACGGTAACCAAGTAGATCAATACAAGGAAAGTAGAAACAATAACATAAACGTTTATTTGAGTTACATTATCGATTAACAATTACTTGTATGGAAATGGCAGATTGACATGTCCATAGAAACCAAACTAACTGACCAAACAGTAAATTAATGCATATTGATATAAAAATGTCATCCTTATCGTTTGGTTCGGCTTGTATACGAATTGGAAATATATTATACCTCTTGATTGGAATACCAGTACTTGCAGAATACAAACTATCCAAGCTTCAAGTAGTTTACTACCTAACATTTATTCTTTTGCATATTTACAATTGTTTATTCTATTTTATATCTATTATCGACAGACTTTTGTCCAATAACGAGCTGTATTATTCTTTCACAACGCTAGTTTATACATCAGGAGTGTTAGTGTTTTCACTAATAATGATTTTGAATCTGAGAAGCATTGTGTGGGTTCAAAATACAATTGAACATTGTCAATCAACAACTTCAGGAGAATCAAAAACACCTGTAAAAGTTGTAAAATTGGCAATAATTGTCGTCATTGTAGTGAACGCCATAACAGACATTGTGTTTGAGTGGGGTGCCAGTGACGATAAAGTAAGTAACTTATCAGTTTTTACAAAAGTGGCCCAAAGAACATCATATGTTCCACTCGTAGTGAGCTGGGTAACCAGTTTCAATTTCTACATAGCCTATCTCCAAAGTCTAGAACTGATGTACGCGATAGTTGACAAAATGTCGACCCAGCAAAATTTGCAAGTGTACACCATTTTATCACAAGATCCAGTGTTGTTGGACCCCTGTTTTGTCTGTTCGATCCCATCAGATTGTGTTCTAAGAGTAAAAACAAAAGTTTCTAATGGAAAAGTTGAATCTTCCAAAAACATTCTTCAAAACTTCACCAAACTAAAGAACTTTGTTTTGATTGTGAACCAGGTTTACTACCTAACATTTGTCTCACAAGTAATGGATGACCCAAATTACACTGCGGACTTGTTATTTGAAGATTACAATGTAAACTGCAATATGATTCGATACATTTTTGCAATCGCCTTGACGATTTCAACAGCCATCCCCATAGTTATTAATGTTTGGAAATCGTCTCTATGTAAGCATTTCTTTGTTAAGATAGCCAATGAGTACTACCTGACGCGGGACTCGAGTTTGAAAAAGTCGTTGCGAAAACTTCATTCAAGCTCAGAAGATGATTATCCAGACACTCCATGTTTATTTTTTTACATTGACACAAACATTTTGAGTGCACTGCAGGATTACCTAATCCTAGTTACGACAACAATCTATTTCAGTTCGTAAACTACTGGGATTTGTATAAGGTACTCTAGGATTGTATTGAATGTTGTTTTAACAGTGAAAACATTTTCATTTTTAGCTTGACATTTTAATTAGTGAATGAAGTGTAAACCCAAATATATTTTTATGGTAAATATGTGAAACATAATTAATTATGTAAACGAGACCAAAGACTGTGTTTTTAATGATTTATATTCTTCCATTGGACTAGTATCAGTAATAATTGCTTGTAATAGTTTGTACTTGTACTGTACTGTCATGGTTTTGTTTATCAGTTTAGGCTGTGGTTTCCTAGACGCGTAATAGATGCGCAGCGGTTTAGATGCGCTGCGGCTTTTATCCAGGCCCCAAAACGCAGCTGCCGTGAGTGGTTTCCTAGACTGCGTATAATACACACGGTTGGTGCGTAATATAAGTTCACGGGAGAGATTACTAGTGGCTACTATGATGTTATACGATGATTTAGATAATGAAATGTATACTTTGGTATTGACAGTTTCGAAGAAGCTGTTTCTTTGGGTGCAGTGAAAAGTATATGATTAGGAACTGTACGTTGCCCTAGCGGAAGTTTTGACCGTAGTATTAAAGCAAAAATGTCAATTTAAAATGTAAACAATAAATTTTAATTAAACCTCTCCAACTTTGCTTTACCTGTTGCCTGTTACTATATTTTGGCCTACCTATTCGGAATTTACCGAATTGACGAAATAGTATATTATTTACGAGTATAACTGCAATAAGCATTTTATACTTATACGCCAACCCCATAAGAAGGACGGGTACTATGCTAGTAATTAATATAGGCTTAATTCTAAGATGTTCAGGGGTTCTCAAAATAATTATGGGGGCTCTTATATTTGGGAGTTGGTGTTGTGCTGACTTGAGAAGAATATTTGTCAACATCAGGTTTATTTACAAATTAGAAATATGTGAGGACAAATTAATTGTAGGGAACATTTAATAAGGGAATTAAATATTAAAATTACACATTATGGGAAAATTAACACTACATAACGAATGATATGGAATGTAAAACTATAAAAATTTTAATTTTATGAACAACGTAGGCCTACTTCCATAATATGTTATTTCAATAGACAAATTCAATATATTTTGCGTTGTTGGTGGAGAATTTTGCCATCTGGACAACATTTACTTCCAAATCCATTGCACAAGAAATGTCTAAAACGCAGCGTAACTCAGATTTGACTGCTCTGAGAGCAGTCGGTGAAATACGCAACTATTGGTGCGCACGTATTAGATGCGCGCGCATTAGATACGCAGCCTTGGAAACCGCTTACACGAAACTCCATAAGACAAGTGTGCTGCGTCTTAGATGCGCACACGCAGCGCATCTATTACGCGTCTAGGAAACCACAGCCTTAATGTTTTTTTTATATATAGCCTATAGTAGCAGACTTGTTTAGTTTTTACTATGTTTTATTTTTGTGTCAACACAAATTTTGCAGCTCAGGCAAAACCGATTTTGAAAACAATCTCAAACCTGTGAAACAATATTTACTACCCATGGTTTTAATTTACATTTAATTAAAAATATATAATATTTCTAATAGAAGTACTATCAGTCTTTCCATTACTATAATAATAACTAATGGCTACTACCTATACATTATAAACAGTAATTTACCTCAACTTGACGAGCTGTGGGTTTTCCAAAGTGGAACACTCGGGTTGTGTCTATTGTGCCATCTGTAACAAAGTAGATAAGAAATGTATTTTAAAATACAAGATTGGAATAATTACATTGCAGTTTATTTAGGAGATGAAGTGACCATGTGTTTATGGGTCATATTAATTAATTAAAACAAGTGTGTAATTAGTAACACAAGTTTATTAATAAAACCACATTGTAATCACAACAGATACACAGGGTCACATGTTGAGGAGTTGACGGAAGAGTGTCTGAAGTTGGAATGAGACTGGAGGGTGGAACGGAAGGGGAATGGAGATACATAGAGGAATGGAAACATAGAATATATAATTATACAATACTGTATCAACACCATGTTATTGAAAACAGCTTAAACGGCTTAAAATGTAAATAGGTACTACAATAATCTAGAGTTAATTTGGTGAGAAATACATTACGAAAGAAGGACTGGGTAACTATAACCAAGAAAAGAGTTCCAGAAAGTCTAGGGTAGACAACACAATTAATTATCACATCACAAAAGGTGAAATATCAAATTGTATAGTGTACTTGTTGTGTACCGTCGACTGCCAGCAACTCTTTTCTTGGTTAGTTAGTTGTTTATCCATTCCATCTTCTTTAATGTATTCCTAAGCCAAGCGCTTTTCCTCCAAAAAGACAAGTTGTTTGGCAATGTTGGTTTAGTAGGCTGTAACTAGTGTTAAATATAATTGTGGTTACCTACAGAAGGCTGATTAAAATTCATCTTTGGATGAGTTTGAGAGACGTAGTAGAGTGTTCGAGTAGACAGTTTCTTATATGGTGAACTGGAGCACAAGACTTTTTCCTGTGCAGTGTTTTTAAAACAATGATGGGTGAAGGAAAAGGTTAGACATAATATTTACCCATATTAAATTATTCTGAATTTCTTTAATATTTGTGTTGTCCATCTAATGAGTTTTCACTTCTTTCATTCATAGTTTATTTTTTTCAAAGGAATTAAATTAATAAAGAACTTGCTAACTTTTTTTGTCTTAGGACGCTAAGCTCTAGACTGGGATCGTTCTTCACATTACTTCAGGCTAGACCTAGGGGTTGCGGCATTATCACTTAGATAAAAGATAAATCATTAATCAATTGGTAATTTGGCAGGATTTTAACCCGGGAACGAAGTCTCTTTGTCTACCAATCAATAGAACAGCCTGTCTTAGGCCAACCAACTAAGAATATTAATGACACACTCACCAAGATATTGGCCACCAGAATCTATGGTTAGTAAACTTGAGTTGTCGATCATCTTGTTGGTTGTAGGTTTCGGAATGTAGTGAGGCAGAGCTCCGTTGGTCCCAAAAGCGACGATACTTTCGAAACTCGGCCCTCGGTTGTAGACCTGTTGAGCTCGTAACACATCCAGAGCCGCAACTACTTTCATCTCATCCCATAGTTGTCCCTCGGCTAACTGAACATAAATTATGAATACAAATGTTAAAATAAATGTATACTAGCTCCATTTCAACTTGGCCACAAGGCGGCAAAGAATGTTGAATTTGATGCAATGATGCACTTGTTCATTTGAAACGATTACTATTACTTTTTTTTCGGTAATCATTAGCCAAGGTAGAAAAATTCAAAATTATTGCAAACCCCAATACTTTGACAAGATAATAACAAAGTATATGTTTACATTTGAAGAATATGTTATGTTGTTCTTTACACTGTTTTTCATAAGCTTAACAGTTTTGGAGATAATTTATACCAGTTCAGTTATAAAAGTAATGTCTACATACAAATTTTTCAAATTTTCACTCTTTTGTCATGTTACATCCTTGTACGTATTTAAAATATTCTGGTGGAATATTATAATATAATAATATCATGGATGTTTTCGTATCAATATTCACCCCTTCCTCCAAGTCGCTCCACAACTGACTCAGAGCCACAGCGTCTCTGATGTGAGCATTCTGTGATCCCTCGATCTCCACATTGTTCTTGTAGGCCTTCATGTTCACTATTGGTGATGGAAGTATTATGATCTTTTCAGGAGGTAACTGTAAAAATTACGGATTTATTGGAGAGTGCATCATTGGAATTTTTAGCAATATATGTGTATATAATAAAGGTATACATGTAGATAATTTAATTTAAGTACTTATTTTTAATTCAATGCATTAAAGTTTTTCTACAAAGAGTCCAAAGTCACACAATACATATTGTTGAAGCATTTATGCCAGTAAAATGCGTTTTTCCAATTAATTAGTTCCAGTTGAGATTTAACTCAAGCACCACAGAAAACAGTAGGCTCTGATGTGGCTTACGTAAATGCCATTTTCTATTAAACTATTATTCCTGTCCAAACTTAACCTACCAGTTGATGTACGACAAGACTCGTTCCTTTTGTCTGGGTACTCAAAGGTCCTGGGATCAGTATCCTGTTGGCTCTCTTGGCTTTCTCCGACAACTCGTACCAAACCCAGTCATAAGGCATGACCCTACACAAATATTGGATTAATTATCATTTATCAGGTAAGACAGAAGAAAAACTACCAAAATAATGCTTTAAACAATACTGTACTACTCACCCCTACGACAAACCACATAAAGAACTAAACTCAACTTACCTCTGCCAAGCAATGAACTTTACACAAATAATTTTCGATTTGAATACCACAAGTGTAAACAGAAACTAAACAACTTACTGTACAGAGTCTGTAGGAGAATACAGATGAGAGCGCAGAGCCGCGGTTATCTTGTCTGGTGGAATATATAATGTAGCCCAGTTGAGCCCTAGCAGCACGTACCCTCGGAACACAGGGGTGAAGGGAATGTCACCTCCACGGAGGTTCAACAACCAAGCCACCTGCGAGGATAAATATTGTGTTCACTGGTTAAAAATAGTTACTCATTGTGATTGGCCAGAGCTGTTTGTTATTTGTATTTAGTATATACAAATCTAGGGATTTTGTGGTGAAAAGATTGAACAGCAGGATGACTTAATAACAACAAAATTTTAAAGTAACAATAAACAAACGAGACATAGAATTTTTTTAAATAAAGATTCTTCTTCAGTTGCAAAACTATATCTGTAGGAGCTTGTATTGACAGTAAGGTATTGTGCAACCTGTCCCTATCTATTACAAATTCCTTAAAACTTATCCTAATCTTTACCAAATAAAATCATAATAGTAAATCAAATTTTCCGATGTACATCACACAGCAGGACTCAACCTCTTCCAAAACCACTCCTAGTATCAGTTGAAAGTCAATTACCTCGTCCAGAGCAGTCACCACCATCATGTCAGCCCCTGAATGAGTCAAAGTCCACCTCAGACGAGACAACTTACTCTGCCAAGTTTCACCTGCAAACAAACCAAGGTTGCCTATATATTTCAATTACAAAGAGTTGTCGATGACGCAAAATTTTGTTGCTGCCAGCTTCAATGACTAAAAGCATTGGTTCACCAGATAAAATTTCAAAACTGTTGCAAATCACATGACACAAAATGCTATGGGAACCTCTGAAACACATCCATGACAGGGTCAGAGGTTAACACGAAAATGTACGGATACACTTAAAAAACCACGAATTGAAGTGTTGGATCTACCAACAAAACCACATGAACTTCAAACAAAGAAAACCATATAATGTGTAACTAATCTTTTATTGGTTAATATGTTTATTACTCAATAGAAATCTGATTTATTAAAACTACAAAACTTACCAGCAAATTTATCTTCATAAACATGTATGGGTTCTGGTGGGTAGTTTGGTCGATTCGTCCATATCGCGTCAATTAAATTTTCCACAACAGGATTTAGAGAAATCTGGAACTTTTCTGAAAAAAAATCAATTTCTAATTTGGTGTTCTGTTTCCAGCAAGGTCATCACAAAGTTTAATTTAATTTAACTAAGACTTCTCTAATGGAATATTTACTTATAATTTAAGCGTAAAACTATATTATTTTTCACAGGTAATTGATTTTAGATGAGAATTAATCCTCAGAAGCGCAAGGCACTCACAGGTTCACAACAGCTCTATTTATTATTTTCATGTTTCCCCAAATATGACGGTTAACAGTAAATAAAGATAGCTTTTATCTGTTTAAGATGCAACTTTGAGAAAATATCACTAAAATTGTTAACATGTAGATGAGAAATCCTATACTCTAAAACAAGCGGCCAAAATTTTCTTTTCGTCCGAGGGCATTTGATTTTTTTTGTTTAAAATTGGGTATTTTGTCACAAAAAATTAATTGGAGTTGGCCAAAAGGCTGGGTAAAATCCAGTTTCTGTCCTACAGCCCTTGAAAGCGCCTACGTTATCGTCAATACCTTTTTGTAGCTATAGTTAACAAAAATAGCTGATAGAGGCTATTTTTATTGTGATAATTTTATTTGACATGTAAACAAAAATAACAGTATCGGTTAGTTTTGTTTAAGGAAAGGCTCTAGGCCAGGATTTTAAATGGTAGAAAAAGGAGGATAGCAGCTAGCTTACCTTGAAAGTGTGGGTAGGCCATAGAACAAGTAGAAAAATATTTTGCACACAATATTTCGTCCCCTAAGGGACTTTGTCAAGTGTAGATAGAGTTTATAAATTACAAGATTAGATCTTGTAATTTATAAACTCCTTTTTCTACCATTTAAAAACAGTATCGGTTAGTTTAGACTATACGTTTTCAAGAATAGTTAGCTTTAGTTTGGTTTATTAGTCATATCAGTGTTAAATGTTTTCAAGGTTAATTTCCAAATAATGAAATGCGGAAGACCTCCGAAGCAAACATTTATACAGAATATGCAAGGGAGAGAAGCTATAATCGATCGTCAGGAAATACATTTTACCAATTCGTCTACAACCAACCCAGTTCCAACCAGCTCATACATCTCACCAAATGCTCAGAACCTCGACCAAATCGTGCATCGAAAAATGAAAGTAGAGAAACAATTTTAGATCTTGATGTCCTAGCAAATTAAGGAACAACAGGCCGATTATCTTGAGCAGGAACGTGTACAAATAGCTGCTCGACGTTTGACATTGACCAAAGACTGCTGACCAAAGACTTATGATATTCTCCGAGCAAAGCTCAGTCCCCAGGTACTGATAAGAGATCTTAGTTTCAATTTCTAAATAAACTAAAAATCATAACTTTTACCTCATTTTGTTGTGTGGTAAGATTGTACCGTTATATTATAAAAACCCATTAATATATAGATTGCCAGGCTAGAAATTAAGACCTTTAGAATCAAAATCCACAATTACAACAAATCTATGCTCTGTTTTTTTAAGCTGACATTTAATGTAAAAACAAAGACTTACGGAGGTAATCCCGCCATATCTTCCACTCGGTGTAAGTGGCTTTCCTACTGTCCACAGACACAACAGAACCAGGTCTCAACTCTGTAGACAGCCATTCAGCGATAGACGGGACCTAAAATATATGAGTAAATAATTATGAAACACTTAAATTTTTTATTTAATTTAGTACAAGGCCAATATTGAAAGACCTTCTATAACAAATTGTTATGAAAAAGATTATTGTTGTTCTGTTTTAACATTCTCTTCACCGAGTCAATCATTAATTTATAATGCTATATAAATTGATTTTCTGGACCAGTATTTTTTTACACTTTTGTCCCTTTGAAAAATTAAACCTCAATGATCAAACTTAGATTTTATTCACCACTGAAACTTTATCATCTAGAAGCTATGACAAACTAATTGTGTATAACTAACTAAAAAACTTTAACTCTAATTTAATCCACCTGTAAAAAATTAAGACCAAAATATGTAGCCAACATTGGCACAATAACTACTACAGTAGACTTGAATAGAACTCTTATCCGAACTCCTCAGGACCGAGGCCAGTCCGTATGACGGATTTTCCGGTTAAACCGACGTCCCCAAGAACTCATTAAAACGGACTGTTTACTGTGATATTCGACTTAAATTTATGAGAGCATTGTATTTAGACACGTGATCATTGGTCTCAAATCTTTCCCACGAGAACAGTCGTTTCACTACTGCCCACTTCCGGCCGATCTAGTCCGGTTAAACCAATGTGCTGATAAAAATTGTCCGGTTAAAGAGATGTCATTTCCGCCGAGTGTAGTCCGGTTAAACCGATGTCCGGTTAAAAGGTGTCCGGATAAGAGGGAGTCTACTGTATAATATATATTAAGTAAAATTTTACATTTGACGTTTTCATTAATGTTACTATTGCTCCTTTTCTTCAAATGTAATTTATACTGTATTTTGGTAAGGACTTATATTAAAGTTTTATATAAAAAAATAAATCTAGTAAAATAATTTACATTTTTTAAAATTAAGACTACTTGGTAGTTTTTGTTGGGTTACGAGCAGGTCTATTGGTAGAGCGCAGGTCCCTGAGGCTCTAGATTTAAGTACCGCCAATCACCAATGGATTTTCTCCAAATGAAATGTCACAACCCCCTAGGCCTTGGCTGAAGTAATGTGTTACGATTTAAGCCGTGTAAAACAAAACGATTTGTGCTAGAGCCTACGTTCTTGTATGTGAAGGTGGGATGGCAAAATACTGCAGGCAACTTACATTCCGGTCCTCACTCCGCATCAACAGCCAGTTACAGTCCATCTCCTCGTCGGCCTGTAGGTAGTAGCGACTGTCCGTCCACAACGCGGCCCAGCTAAGCGTCACGACTGCATCACCATTGCTACCAGTGAAACCGGTTATAAACTCTCTCCGACGATCTGGGATGGCCACAAACTCACTCTGTCAACAAGTCTACAAGTTATGCATCATAGATTGAATGATTTCTTTGTGATCATAGTGGCATGTGACAATAATTGTTAGAGTGTGAGACTTATATCTTGGTGGCTTTAGTCCGAATACAACCAAATGAAAGTCGATCAGTAAAAACTTTAAAAGCTACAAAGAAAATATTGTCTGCAGTAAAAAAATTTTACTTTAAAATAAATTGTCTGTGTATTTTATGTAGAGCAATGCAATGTCTGTGGGTAAAAGCATTTATTAAAAGCTCAATAATCAAGGTCAGCTGGTTCCAGTTTTAAACCATCAGTTACTTTTCTCAGCATTGAACCAGCTACCTTTTTTACTACTAGGCAAGCACTACAACCATTCGCTACCCAGCTATATCTAACGCTAGAACTAAGAAGCCTTACTCACAAATAATCCTAAAAATATTGCACATCAGATCACCTTTAATAAGGTCTTAAAATGGCTTAGAAAACCTGCATATGGATGCTGTAGTTGCAAATAGTTTACGTTCCTAGTTTAAATTATGATCCGGCCTACAAAGGATTCAAAATCAATGCATTTGTGTCTTGTGTTTTATATATATATATACTGTGTTGACGACCTTCAAAGCAAAACGTTTTGTTTCCTTGATGATGTAACCTAAGAATTGAAACTAGTTGCCGCTGGGACCAAGGATTACTTTATGCAGGACTTCTCAACTATTTGAAGTATAACCACTGAGTTTACACGCAAGGTAATACTGTGGCTTAAGAAATCTAATTAAATTGTTTTCATTTTATTTTATATTGATTATAATAGCAACAGCATAGTTGTGTTTCAAAAACATTTACATGCCAATTTTTGGAGAACAGACTAAACAGTGATTTTAATTTACCTGGTGATCGTCAGAGTTGGGTATGATATAAGCGGAGATGTTTTTTGACGACATCAGCTCTCGTAGTTTCTGCAGCTTCTCGCTACTCGACACCCGGTTTGGCGGTTTCATCTGTAGGTTGGTAACACAACTGGTTCTCTCAGACAACGTGACCCCGACAAACCTCCCGTCTGTCAAGTAACGTCTTTCCTCTCTCCAGTCATCGTACAGTTGAGGCACATAACAGCGGACTTGGTGAACTAAGAGCCATAATGTAGTGAGTTGTGATGTGTATACTAGTAACGTGGTTTACTAAATGGTAGTTTTAATGGAAACCTGCTACCAGTAATTAGTAATAACCTTGAAATTGGCCTTGTTGACACATTCTTTGAAATGGAATGTTTGGCTTTTTGTTATTTATGGTACCAGTAATGGAGTATTCAGCATCAAGATGTTCTATTTAAACCTGTAGAAACACCTCAGTTGCAATTCAGTTAAGTTTATAAATCGACTAGACCCATGGACATTTGCTAGTTAATTCTATACAGTTCAGTTTGGATTGTGATCAAACCCAAGTTTCTGTAATAAAAATAAATACGGTAGTGTGTAAAAGAGCAAGTCATCGGTTAAGAAAGTAATTCGTCATTTTTGAGCTTCCTGTGTGGTTTAGGTAGCTAACTCTGGCTCGATTATCTTGTAAATTGCTTAACATGTTTTGGAAATTGTAAACTTTATCTTAATTATTTTTTACTCTTACTTTATAATCCAAAAACGAAACAATAACATTTATAGCACATAAAATGTACACTATTCTATACTCGTACAAACACCACGTGGGTTATTCTTGCAAAGACGTGCTTGTTTTACCCACCCTTGTTCTAACCTATTGCTTCGGGTTTCATTTTGTTTTCGGCTCGTTGTTTTGACTACTATAAAATTTTCTATGTGGTTATTCTATGTAATTTTCCAGATTTAGCTAGGTTTCTTTAATCTTGTTATGTTTTCACCTGAGGACGGGGTCAGATTCCAGATCCCAAAACGTTGTGAAAACTTGTTCTCTACTAATCGTGATGGAAAGTTTCCACAACGATCCCTCAAACAACCCCTGGGTTTGTTGCTGTTTAAAAATGTAGGCCTAAACAAAGCAATGTTTTTAAATATTCACACATTCATCATGACATTTTCATTTTACACATATAATTCTCTGTAAATTTCCGCTTGTTAGGTTAAAAAGACCTTTACATTTGAGTCCTTCTCGATTATCATAGGACTTTTCAAACTCAAGAAATGTCATGTGTACATAAACTGGACGGTACTGAGTTTGAATTAGTTGATTGCCTTTTGGTTACAATCATAAATAAACTATTTTTTTTTACACATTCTTGCTGAAGTACTTGCATTGTAAATGGGTTTGGAAGATTTAACTTTTAATAAGCGAGACTAAAAGTCTCAATAGGGTATATAGGTTAATCATTCTAAAGAGTGCTCTAAAGAATGTGACGACATTCTAAACTTGTTCAAACCCTAACATAGATATTTATCTTGAAAAGTATTTCCTAACCTGGTATATAGTTTTTAACACACTCTTCTACTTAGATTTTTACTTTAGGCCTAAATAAAAAAATATATTTATTTTTCGGTTTTTTATGCAAAAAATTGACTGAAAATTTTATATAGTGAAAACTACCTTAAAGAATGTTGACTTACCTAGACAAATGGCAAAACACAAATATGTCCAGTCCATAGCTTTGAATGGACTGTTGCCAGGATTAACCTCCAAATCTGTTTACAAATTCAGAGATCGTTGACTTGTCATTAGTGGAAATACAACTGATAGGAGCTGCCTGGAAGTGACACCTCGTAAACAATGGATCACGGATAGGAAAATTTGGAAGGATTAAGGGGTAGAGATAATCAAAACGGATACGTAACAATGCATATATTTGCTCTGTAGAAAAATAGTTTGTAACGATTGTGGACAATAATAGCCTTTAACAATGAATTTAGTACATAAAAGTCAAAGGTCAGCTTAAATTAGACATAACAACATGTGTTTTTAAAGTAGAAATTATCAATTAAAAATTACTTCACTCAGCTTACAGCCTCAGGGCAGCATTTTCATTAACATTTATTTTAGTTTAACACTATTCGTGCTGTCGACATGTTTGAACATAAAAGTTGCATTTATTTCAATGTTAAGCAATTGCGGGAATTCCCGTCATCAGCACCCAACGTGTTAATCCAATTATTTACTTGTTTCCAACATACAAAATCGTACAAAATAGCCTTAAACCAATTTGAACATTCAGTCTTTAATTATTATACAAAACATTTAAAATATCACAATCTTTTGTGTTTCACGACAGGCATACAGTACTTAACTTTAGATTGTTTACTTCACTCTTTAAAATATAATCATGACACATTGAGTACAAAGAGATAAAATTGAGGTGTTAACTCATTTTTATGTTTTTTTAACAATGCAATTATTTAACATTCAAATTTAAAAAATGTTCAATACACTAATCGGTGTTTCAAATAGGTGCACTGGATCATGATTTAATATTTTAACTTTAAATATGTCTTATTACTTCAAGTAAACATTCTGATCTGTAGAAACCTTTAACGCACACATCAACTACACTATCAATCAAAGCACAGCTTTGGTCGATAAATTCAATTGTACTCCTGTGAACTAGCTGAAGCAAAACATGTCATTGGTAGAATATTCGCCAATCATTTCTGCCAAGACTTTCTGTTCGAGAATTTTAAGAGCAACATACTTTAGATAAACCTTAGATCATACAAACAAACTTACGTATATAAGACAAAAGTACGATACATTGATTAATTCAGATCAGTCTTTCATAGGTAGATGTTTGTCTAGCGTTTACTTCTTCTCGTACTTGTAGTAGCCTTCACCAGATTTGACTCCCAGTTTGCCCTGCTTGACCAGTTCTTGCATCGACTTGAGAGGCTCAAACAAAGGGTTGTCTGGGAACTTCTCATACCATCCTGCAAGAAGAGAATGCCACAAATCAATCATACGCAAATTCTTTTATCGATTTAAGACCTAACCACACAAAAAACCATTTTTCTTTGTCTTTTTATTCATGCGGTCAAATCAAATATGGTTGTTTTCATCTGTTGTGTTTCCAGGCGTACCCGGTTTGTTTACTAATCTCATTTTATAGGTTTCTTTCCCGCAATGACAGAGTCAGAATTCAGATCCCAAATAGTAATGAAAGTTGAGTTAATCATTGATAGAAATTGTCTGCAAATATCTTTCAAACAAAATAAACTTACCACCACCGAAAACGAACTTCAAACAATTAATCTAACAGTTATAAAAAAACATTTGGTCACAACTAGGAATAATTGACCAAATGAAAGATGCTATACAGTACAAAAAATTACTTATTCAGTTTACAGCGAATTCATATTATAAGCAATTAGTGATGGACGAGACTAGATTTTTCACTTCAGACGAGACAAGATTTTTTTAATTCCTGCGGGACGGGATTTTTTTTGGGACTAGATTTAATGAAAAGTTATAAAAAACATTAATATCTACTTTTTAAGTTCAAAAATATTTACAAGTTTTTAAAACTTGACAGTAAATAGACAAAAATATTTAAAATCTTTTATTAAAAAACATTACTAAAAAAATCAGTATATAAAAAAAATTTAATAAGGCCTAACTTATTAAAAATAACTCTTCGGCATAGGAAACATGGAGATATCAGTTAGTATATAGTTCAACTTTGAAAAAAAACCAACAGTATTACTAGTTAAGTATCAAGTCACAATTGTTAAGTCTTGTGTTATTTTTTAAATGATTTTGGAGTGACTTGTTTTGGCTATGTTACAGTAGTAAAACATGTCTCACACTGCTTACACTAACAAAACTTCTCATCTGCTATGTCAAAATAAATAATAAAACAATTGAAGCAATATTTTTCCATGTAAAGAATAAATAACTAGACTAATATAAACACCTTCAGTTTTTTAATTTTAAATATTTTTAAATTTTAAATTAAAAGTTTTCAATTTACGTTTTGCAAAAATACTTCACGTTTTTTTTAATTTTAAAATTTAAATTTTTTTTTAAATTAAAATTTTTTTAATTTTTAGAAATTTTTTAAAATTTTAAATAAGAAGTTTGCAATTTACGTTTTGCAAAAACATTTTGCAGTGTTTTTTTAATTAAATAAATTTTTTTTAAAATCTTGTCTTGAAAATATTCCGTTAGTATTTCAATCCCGCCCAAAGCTTCGAGATAAAAGGTCCCGCCCAAAGGTCTTGTCCATCACTATAAACATTAACCATAAACAATTTCATATTTTTCACCCCTTACACAAACTTGTTTCTTTTCATGCGGTAAATGTTCTTTAAACACAGTGAAATACATTTGCTAATTAAGATACAGTCAACTTTATAGAGTGTGTTGTATATGAAATGCATACCTGTAAGGATGGAGTTGGTGGTGTCATGGCCGACATAATCTGCTAGCTCGAAAGGTCCCATAGGATGACCTGCACCAAGCTTCATGGCAATGTCTATGTCTTTGGCTGAAGCATCACCTGCAGAAAACACCTTGTCAATTTTGGATTACAGGACAATAAAATAGGTTAAGCATTATAAACAAGGCCTTGTAGCGCCAAGGGTAACTTGGAAATACACCAATAGAAAAAATGCCTACAAGTAGTAAAATTTAAATGCGACTTTAGATCACTTACAACTAGTTTGTTATTAAAAAGAAAAATCAGCACAATTGAAAATTGCATCACATATTGGGTACAGTAAAGGAAAATGCCTATAATAAAATTAGGTAACTTTTTAAAATCAGAAAATTGTGAAATTAAATAAAATTTAATGTTTATTCGTCACACGAAGTTTACACGATTGTGATACATCACATGTAAACATATGACACAACTCAGTTTAGTTCTTATACAACTAACTAAATACATACATTTATGTTTTGAGGACTCAGACATTCTCAGCTATCAAATATATAATCTTTTTATAGAATTAATTGTAAAAATTTAAAAAAATTTTATTCCTTTGTTTGATTTGCACTGTTTCTTTTTCAATTAACTTATGTTGTTTTCACAATTTTATAAAGTTTTTAGTCATAACATAGCCTAATAGGCCTGTTTTACTAGTTTTAATTATGGTTGGGTTAACTACAATTATTTGCAAAAAAATATGTTCAAGCAACAACATTTATCTACATCCAAATGTCTAACCAAACAAATATTTTGAATAAGAACAATTTGAGTAAGAAAATAAACACAAAATAAACGGTAAACACCTCTGTTTGAGAAATGTGCCTTTTGGTTGTATATTG